TGCATTTTTGTCTCTTATGAAAATAAAAAATGTATTAAATTTAATTAAATAAATTAAACTAAAAGGTCAAACTTAACCCCAACATTGGGTTATTTTTTCAATTAAATTTCAATTAAGAATTTTTAACCAAATGGTTGTGATATTTCTATCTTATGAAAATTAATCATGGTTTTACTGCAAAAATATAAGTAAATAAATAAGGCGACACGGTGGCGCAGTGGTGCTGTCGCCTCACAGCAAGAAGGTCTGGAGGAATATGTGACCAAATGGATATCACATCATCTTACACTATAAAAAAAATAAAATGCCAAAAAGTCATGATAACAAATGCATTTATGTAACTTTAACTCATTTTACCATGTTAATCAGGTTTCAACTAAATGTTGTTAATATGCAAAGCTTAACTAATATTTTTAGTCAGTTTAATTGATGTAAGTTGAGATGAATACAAATGTTTATTTGATGCTGCTAAATAATTTAAGGCAGCAAGAATTTTTGTAACAGTGTGAAAATTAATTGTTTTAATGCAAAAATAAAATAATATTGAAAATTAAAAAATGTTATCAGTTTGTCAAAAAACACTTCGTGCAACAATTTTTAAACAATTTTACTATAATAAAAGCATGCAAAACAATTATTATTGAGGTTATCAGATACAGCTGTTGTGGAATATATATATATATATATATATATATATATATATATATATATATATATATATATACATTTTTTAATTAGATTTCTACAAAACAGCTACTTTTTTGTGTAATTTTCATAGGGGCTAATAATTGTAATTATACCTTTATATTATAAAGTTCCTTTTATTTTAGAAAACATAATTTTAGTAACTAGTATTAAATTTCATAAGCTGAGCTGTGAATATTGAAATACTTTCAGTGTGAATGTGGATTTTCAGCATTCCTGTAACATCATCAAGAATTAATTTAATGGTTAATATTTGCTAAATTGTGCGTTGTACAATATGAAGAGCAGTTCTGTGGTCAAGCAGCAGTTTTTTCTTGTCCATGACTGTTGTCCATCTACGCCTCCTGTTGGTGAATTACTGCAACTCCAGCCTAATAGAGCAACTGGGTGCAGATGCAGAGCTTATGACAGAGAAGCTGAGATGTTTATAGTTTGTATTATCAAAAAGAGAATTTGAGTAGTACATATGTTATAGGCTAGTTGCCTCTTCAAAAGCATTCATGGCCCTACCCACAACATTCTTAAGTGTCTTAGATTCAGAGCTGTGCCGCCATCTTGTGGTACATTATGGTTATCATGGAATAGGGTGACGATCAGCGGACAACTTTGGGAAGCTAATATTGGTTTGTTTAATAGGCCTACATGCGTCAGTGAATCAAGTGTTTGTATTTATTAAAATTACGTCTGATTTATTTTTTTAGAGTTTGCTATTTAGTACTGTAACCTCTGATTAGCTATTTTGGAGGTACGTTAGGTCAAACTATGCAAACTGCGTCTAATTTAACTGTACTTTTCGTCCATATGTAAATACAAACACCTATTTTATAAGAAATGGTCTTGTGAACACTTACGATGGCGGTTTCAGACTGTTGATTCTTCTTCTCATGCCTGACTCCCTAAATATCAGGTGTGTTGACCTCCTCCAGGAGGGATCAACCGTTATAGGGACGTCAATCGCCCCCAAACTAGCACCATGGGACACATGGGACAAATGCTAGCTGTGTTAGCCTACCAAATTAACAAAATGAAACGTTTTTTATCATTACAAGCTCAGAAAACTTCACACAATTACAATTTTGCAGCATGTCTCTTCTATTATTTATTACCAAGTAAAATCATAGCCTTTTTTGTAAAATGATATTTGGTATTTATAATTATTTATTTCTATAAAATCTAAACCTTAAAAAAGAAAAAAAAATCCATTAAAAACTAAAAATGTCTGTCTGTCTCACTGTTTCTCATATAGTCGCTAATGATGGACTCAATTCGGATTCTTTCTGTTATAAACATTTCTACTAAAACGACAGCTGTAGCACCACCATGACCAAATAAAGAGATCAAATTCCACCTTTCCCTTCTCACTCCATCTTCCTGTCCTCCTAAATTATACACTTAAAGAGACAGTTCACACAAAAATTTTAATTCTGTCAACATTTACAGATACTCAACCTCCTCTTGATCCAAACCTGCACAACAAGAAGATTTTTTAAAGAATGTTTAAAACCGATTTCCATAGTATTTGTTTTTCCAGCTAACGAAGTCAATGACATTTTCAAGATTCTTCAAAATATTATCTTTTATGTTCAATGGAAAAAGAAACCCATAAAGGTTTGATGGTTCATAGTACAGTGGTCAATTTTCTATTTTGGTGAATTATCCCTTTAGAAAAAGTGTATATTTACCCTTAAAAATAGTGACTCTCGGATTAAAAAATTTCTCTTTTTATACTATAAATGCATGCAGTGAAGATAATTTCTAAAATTTGGCCTATATGCCCATTTGGACTTTCTCTTTTAAAGAATTGTTCAACCAAAAATGACAATTCTGTTATCGTTTACTCCATGAAGTGATTTGCAACCTTTATGAGATTCTTTCTTCTGTTGAACACAGATTATTGTGACACATAACTGATGTTAGATGTCAATTTGTCAACTGTCAATAGTTAATTGACATCAAATTGATTTTTGTTGTTTTTGATGTCATTTTAGGTGCCCACTGGGATGCTTATCAATGGCCAAATAGTCTTCAGAACATCTTGTTTGTGTTCGACAGAATAAAAGAAACTCGTAAAAGTTTAGACCCACTTGCAGAGGTAATTAATATTTTTGTATGAACTATTCTGTTCTATTCTATTCTATTCTATTCTATTCTATTCTATTCTATTCTATTCATTCAGGAGGACTCATGCCAGTGGTTCATTCATGTTCACAATTTGTCAGACACTCATGAGGCTTCAGCCAATGAGAAGCAAAATTAATGTCAAATTGACATCAAAAACATGTCAAAAATGTGATTTGATGTCAAAACCTTGACATCTATTTGACATCCACATATTGATGATCTTTTGACCACCAAAATACCGACACAAAAAGGTATTATAGCTAATATAAGAAAGGTTTTCTTCATCTTAAAGCTTTATTACCAAATTCTAAATTTACATTGGATTTTGTAAACTTACGATGCATGTAAACTCTCTAACATCGAACGTCAGTTACGTGAAAAAAATTTACGTTAATGTTAGATGTCAATTTGATGTTGTTTTGACATCAAGGTAGTCAAAATGACATCAAATTAGTTAAAATTTTAACATTTTAATTTTGTTTGTTTGTTTGTTTTTGATATAATTTTAGGTGCCAACTGGGATATTTATAATGGCTATTTGGAATAATATCAATGCAAATTTCCAAAATTGTTTAAATATTTTTTAATGCCAACGTTAGATCATCAAGGTAGTCGGTTGTCATCAAATAGTTTCGCATTATGTATGTTGTTTTAGGTGCCCACTGGAAGGTTGATCAAAGACTAAACTTACTTCACAGCATCTTGTTTTGTGTTCGACAGATTTACAATTTTGAGTTAGTCGCTTATAAGACTTCAGCCAATGAGAAGCAGACTTAATCAGCAACATGTCAAAAAAAAGCTAATTGATTTGATGTCTATTTGACATCCACACATTGATGCACTTTTGACCACCAAAATATCGACACAAAAAGTATTATTGCTAATATAAGAAAAGTTTTATTCATCTGAAAGCTTCAATTACACATAGACACTGAATTTTGTAAACTTACGATGCATGTTAATCCCGACAAACGTTGGTGTCAAAAAACATGAAAAAAATGTTACGCCAATGTTAGATGTCAATTTGATGTCGTTTTAACATCAAGGTAGTCAACTGACATCAAATTGCTTTGCATTTTAAGGTTTTATTATTTTTTTTTCATTCTAGGTGTTTAAAGGGATGTTTATTAATGTCTATTTGAAATAATGTCAATGGAAATTTTCCAAAATTGTTCACCTATTTTTTTAATGCCGGTGTTAGATCATCAAGGTAGTCAATTGTCATCAAATGGTTTCGCTTTATTTATATTGTTTTAGGTGCCCACTGGAAGGTTTGTCAAAAACTAAACTTTCTTCACAACATCTTGTTTGGTGTTTGACTGATTGACAGATTAAAAGAAACTTGTAAAAGTTTAGACCCACTTGCAGAGGAAATTTACAATGTGAGTGAACTCTCCCTTAAACAATTCATTCAGGAGGAGGCTTAATCAAAAACATATCAAAAAAGCAAATGGGTTTGATGTCAAAACCTTGACGCCTATTTGACATCCACACATTGATGCCCTTTTGACCACCAAAATAACAACACAAAAAGTATTATAGCTAATATAAGCAAAGTTTATTCATCTAAAAACTTCAATTACACATTTACACTGGATTTGGTAAACTTACGATGCATGTTAACTCTCTAACATTGGTGTCAAAAAACATGGGAAAATTGAATTGATGCCAATGTTAGTTGCAATCCAATTGGGTTGCAATTTGAATGTTTTTTTTTATATAATTAAAATTAAAGGTTTTATTCATCTGAAGGCTTTATTTCCAAATTTACAGTGAAACATTGATGTCAAAAAATTATGTCTCCACTGTTAGATATCAATTTGAATCTCTTTTAACATCAAGGTAGTCGATTGACATCAAATTGGTTTGCATGTTAAAATTTTGTTACAGGCTTTTGATATCGTTTTAGGTGCCCACTGTGGCGTTTATAATAGCTATTAGGAATAATATCAATGGAATTTCTCCAAAATTGTTGACTTGTTTTTAATGCCAATCTTAGATGAAGTTAGTTAATTGTCATCAAACTGATTGCTAAGCATTCTTCAGAACATCTTGTTTTGCGTTCGACAGATTAAAAGAAACTTGTAAAAGTTTAGACCCACTTGCAGAGGAAATTTACATTTTTGAGTGAACTCTCCCTTAAACAATTCATTCAGGAGGACTCACGCAGCGGTACAGTCATGTTCACTATATTGGTCAGTCGCTCAGGAGGCTTCAGCCAATGAGAACCAGGGGTGTAGAGGACAGAGGGGCATTTAAAAGATGGAGAGGTTGTAAGAGGAAAACTCCTGCATCACAGCACTCAAGTCTACAGGAGACCATGAGCACCCAGTTCAGCAAAGGACCCACATTCGGACTCTCTGCGGATGTCAGGAATAAGGTAAGTGCAGTTTACCACACAAATACAATGCATTTGGAAAGCATGCAATGACTATTCTAATGTAAACTGGTGATTTGTATGATATGGTGTCGTCGGATAGCAACATAATATATATTGTGCCAGTTTAAATTATTTATTATTTATTTAGATATTGCATAATGATAAAAAAATCTATAAAGTATTTGAAGAAGCTAATATGCTGTTTTTACTTCGAGATACAGGAAAAAGGGGCATATAGAAGTGCTATACTTTTCTTCTAAACATATACATTACGAGTCAAATCAGTTTTTTAAAAATGATTAATGTTTTAATTAATAATTTAAATAAATTATTCTGTTCATCAGGGCGACATTTATTAAATGCAAAAACATTTGTTTAATTTTTTAATATTTATTAAATATTTATTGATTTATTATTGTTTGTAGTTTCAAATTACTTCTCCAGTCATTTTTGCTTTTATTACGGTTATCATTAATAATAATAATAGTATCAATAATAATAATAATAGAAATAATTATTATTATTAGAGTGATTTAATAAATAAAACTATAAACTACTTTTGAACAGTTATTTTATAGTTTAATTTTACAATTTGTACTGTAATTTTGATTAAATAAATGCAGCTTTGGTGAGCAGAAGCTTATTTTTAAAACAAAGTTAGATGTCAATTTGAATCCGTTTTAACATCAAGGTAAATAGTTTGCATTTTAAGTTTGTTTTTTGTTTTTTACAGGTTTTTGATATCATTTAGGTGCCCACTGGGATGTTTATAATGGCTATTTGAGCAATACATTAAATGTTTCTGATCAATAACTTTACTTAACCATCTTATTTTGTATTGAAAATAGTATGCTTAGATGTTTCTCAGGCCAAAATGGAAAAGAAATTAGGTTTTTTAATATATATTTACTTGCAAACACACTTTCTATTGTGCTAACAAATTGTCAGAAACCCCAATTTTTTTTTTTTTTATTGAAGCTATGTTAGGAAATCCAGTGTGGCACACTAAATTTGATGATAACATGCTTTATCATTATCATTATCATTATTATTATTATTATTATTATTATTATTATTATTATTATTATTATTATTATTATCATAATACAATGTTATAATCACATTGAAATAATAATCACATTATTATTATCTTGCCATCATCATCATCATCATCACCATTATTAATATGAACTATTTTATAAAAATTATTTTATTAATATCAATAATTATATTTATAAATGTCATTCGTTTTTAATTTTAATAAAATATATTTGATATTATTAACTTGTTCAAAGAATAATTGAATGATTGAAAAGGATGATTGATATTATCTCAGTGGCTCAGTGGTTAGCACTGTCACCTCACAGCAAGAAGGTCTCTGGTTCGAGTCTCGGCTGGGCCCGTTGGCTCTTCTGTGTGGAGTTTGCATGTTCTGTGTGTGTGAATGAATGTGTATGGATGTTCTCAGTACTGGACTGTAGCTGGAAGGGCATCTGCTTTGTAAAACATGTTGAATAAGTTAATTCCGCTGTGAATCCCTGATAAACCCGAAGGAAAATGAATTAAGGAAAATAATAATTATTATTACTATTAATAATATTAATAACATCAACAATATTATTATTTTTAAAATCATTATTCTTAATCATTATTTTATTATATTGCCCTTGATATGACAGCTGGCACAGAAATATGACCCTCAGACGGAGGAGGACCTGAGGATGTGGGTCCAGGAGATCACAGGACGAACACTTGCAGAAAACTTCATGGAGGGGCTGAAAGACGGCGTGATCCTGTGCGAGTGAGTAAAGTAACACAAAACACAACGTGAACACATTTTTTTTTCAGCTTGCTCTAAGTGCCCCTATATGGTGTTTCTCCACTACAGGCTGATCAACAAACTACAACCCGGATCCGTCCCGAAGGTCAATCATTCAACCCTAAACTGGCACAAGGTAGATATAATGTTTGAAATGAGACTTCACATGATGTTTAAAGAGCTTTCAGGGTATAAAATGGATATTTGCTGCAGCTGATGTTCTCTAAAGCCATTAGCGCATGTATTGCATGCTTGTGAATAGCAGGTATTAGCTGTTTAGCTCAAAGAAATGCTGAGAATGTATGATGAGCGCAGAGGAATTGAGCTTTTAGCGTTAAAACGAAGCCCAAAAACTGATTTACTGCCTGAGAAGCAGTCTGGTTATTTTTGGCACCGTCAAAGTAGTTTTTGATTTAAAGCCCAAATAATTACAGCAGATTAAAGAAACACGCAATTAGGCTTTAAGCAGAAATTCAACACAAGAGTCAAACGCATCTAACGAATGGGCTGTTTTACCTCATTAGCTTAGGTCTGTGTTTAAAAGATCTACAAACACGGTATTTTCTGCCAGCTAGAAATATATATATGACAACTACATCCCTATCCTGTGTTTGTGTCTCTCTTAGTTGGAAAATATCACTCACTTTGTGCGAGCCATTGGTGAATACGGACTGAAACCACATGATATTTTTGAGGCCAATGATCTTTTCGAGGACATGAACCACACTCAGGTTCAGTGCACCCTCGTCGCTTTGGCTGGACTGGTGAGAAATGATAAGAAAACACTGCAACATGTAGCACTCAGAACAATTTTTGAACATTACAAACTATTTAAATATTAATATACTGTTACCCTGCTAAACAAATCAAGCTTAAACCAGCCTAGGATGGTTGGCTGGTTTTAGCTGGTCGACCAGCTATGTCCAGTGTAAACCAGGCTGCTAAGTTGGTTTTAGCAGGTCATTTTCTAGCCTTATCAGCTAAGACCAGGCTGGAAATGGCTGGAAACCAGCCTGGAAATGGCCAAAGCCCCTCTAAAACCAGGTTGGTCGACCAGCCTAGGCTGGTTTAAGCTGGATTTTTCAGCAGGGTAAGTATTTAACTGTATTATTACTGTAAAAATGCTGGGTTCCACACAATTGTTGTCCCAACACAAATCGATTAAGTTAACCTAATTGTTTTTGCAAGTTTAAGTGGACTGAATATAAAACGATTAAGTTGTGTTGTTTTGATTTGTGTTGATTGAGTTGATTCAGCAAACATAGCCTATTTTTTGAAATGATGAACTGTATTTTACTGTAGGACAGTTATGCAGTATGTTACTGCGTAAAGTCGCATTGTGAAAATTACTGTATATACAGTAATGATTAGGGGTATAGCGGATCACGGTTTATCCGTGATTGAAATAGATCACAACCCATGGTTCAGAACACACATGACCTGTGGATCAATACAATTTTTTACTTGTAGATTAATCCTGAATTTGTAACAATCGCAGAGAGATCACCTCTCATGTCATTCAAATCACATGTATGAAAGCATTTAGGCTTTCCTGTAAAATATAATGATGACGGAAAAAGTTTTGGTGGGTTTGCGATGTGGTGAGTTATTAAAGGGGTTTTCTGTCGCTTTTGTTTAGCCTGCGTTAATGCATTCAGTGTAAGCTGCATGATTAATCATTAAAAGATTGGGATTTCAACACCCAAGGAACATAACTTCTAAACTAAGGGATGGTGATTTGCATATATATATATATATATTAATCCTTAAATGGCTGCATTCAAATATGTGTTTAAAAAACATAAAAATCAAGAGATTCAGGCTGAAAACCGCCTACTACTCAGTAGGTACTGCATTTGTATTTAAACCTACTACTCGGCCGTTAGAAAAGTACGTTCTATACATTATGAATGTGAAAAGTATGAATGGAATTCGGACGTACTACATCTGCATTTTGTCATGGTCACGTGACCTACCTGCGTCAGTTGCGTCGTTTCACTCCCACTTTATGAATTCTCTCGCGGGGCATCATGGGATATAAGGGTGCATGGCATGCGCACTTCAGAATCTCACCTGAACTAGTAAGTCATCCGGGTACTTCTTCCATACTGATTTTCGAATTCGACATACTACTCGGCTCGCATACTGATTTTAGCGTACTGTATAGTATGGAAGTATGTGGTTTCGGACGCAAGTTAAGGCCAAATAACACAGAAGTACTGAGATAACAGTTAATAATTTAGATAAAACCACTGCTGTTTATGGTAAAGATTACCATCACAGTCATATGCATTTAACTTTGACGCTCAAAAATGAAAGTTGTAGGCAGCAATTACATTATTTAACCAGTAGGTGGCGACAACCAGCCATCAAAAATATGCCAGTGATTAATTCTTCCAAAATGACACATCTATCGATGAAACGTGAAGTTAATGAGTGAATAACTGAATCATTAATTGAAAATGAATCTGGGTTGTACAAATTATGATGTTAGATTTCTACATTTTTAGCGTTATCAGCAACAGTAATAGTTACAGTAAATTCTTCACAGTACTGAATATTTTACTATGTAATTTTATTCATCTGGTTATTTCTTTACTTTATTTTTTAAAAAATTACAGGTTGTAGGTTCTGTTTTCTTAAAACCAAAAGTGTCTCGCAGTGCTGTTTTTGTAATAAATGGAAAGCAAATTACATTTGTGTCCTCCCTTTTTTTGGCTGATCCGAAAAATGATCTGATCCGTGACTAAAAAACCATAATGTAAAACCACAAGATTTGTGATCCGTTAAACCACTAATAACGATATACAATTCTGTAAATACAGTTGAAGACAGATTTATACGCCCTCCTGTGAATATTTGTTTCTCTTTGTTAAATATTTCCCAAATGATGTTTAACAGAGCAAGGAAATTTTCACAGTATGTCCTATAATATTTTTTCCTCTGGAGAAAGTCTTATTTGTTTTTATTTCGGCTAGAATAAAAGCAGTCTTTATGTTAAGCAATATTTTTTTGATTGTCTCCAGAACAAACCATCATTATACACTCACTTGTCCAATTAACCTAGGTAAGCCTTTACATGTCACTTTAAGCTGAATACTAGTACCTTGAAAAATATCTAGTCAAATATTATATACTATCATCAGGGCAAAGATAAAGGTAATCGGTTATTAGAAATGAGTTATTAAAACTATTATGTTTAGAAATGTGCTGAAAGAAATCTTCATTCTGTTAAACAGAAATTGGGGAACAAAATATGCAGGTTGGCTAACAGGTTATTGTAGACTCTACAGGTGATTGTATGTGTAAAATCATGTCTTCTCAACACACAGGCCAAGACTAAAGGCTTCTACACAAAAAGTGACATCGGTGTGAAGTATGCAGCAAAAAAGCAGAGGAAATTCAACCCTGACAAGATGAAAGCAGGGAAATCCATCATCAGCCAGCAGGTCACATGACAAACACTTGACATTTGATGCATGAGTGCAAAAGCGGAAATATCTGTTGACATGTTGACAGAAATGCAACATGCAGTTATGTGGAATATTACATAGTACAATTAGGCATGAGATGATAACTGTTTTTAGGGTATACCGCGGTTCGGAAAAAAAACTCTGCCATACCGTTCCTATGAAATGAAAAACGATATGTAAAGACGCCATTTTAAATTGTAAATAAATCTGTGTTTCAGAAACTAATGAAGACAGCAGAAGTCTTTCATTAGTCTAGCCCAGGGATGGACAAACTTGATCCTCGAGGGCCAGTGTCCTTGCAGAGTTTTGTTCTAACACTAGTCAAACACACCTGAACATGCTAATCAGTGTCTTTAAGATCACAAGAAATCTATAAGCAGGTGTGTTTGATTAGGGTTGGAGCTAAACTGTGCAGGACACCATCCCTCCAGGACCGAGTTTGCCCACCCCTGGTCTAGCCTTACATGTTTACTGCTCCAAAATATTTTAAAAGTTTCTCAAAATAAAATATTTTTTGTTCAAAAGGGAAAAAAGTTTTCGTTTTTTTACACTGACATTTAAAAAGCACATATTTTAGTGAAGTAATCACAATACTGTGAAACCGTACATTTTTTATCCAAGGTTATTGTATTGTCAGAATCTTATACCAAGGCCATGCCTAAGTACAATAGTAGAGGACAAAGACTCTCATGTTAAAGGTAGAGTGTATTATTTGAATTATAAATGGATCTAAATTAGTACTTGGAAAATATTTAGATTTATGTTTAAATATAACACACTCATTATAATAATGTATTTTATTATTACAAATTAGTTTACTTATTTCACATTTATCATTGACTTTAATGTTATTATTTAGATTTATTCACGTGTATTAATTTAATTAAAGAAAGTTGCATATGAATTATCATGGATGATTATACGATTTTTAAAACCCCTTAATTGAATTTTTAAAAAATTTATATATGGGTGGCGCACTGTTGCCTCACTCACAGCAAGACGGTCGCTGGTTCTAACCTCGGCTGGGCCAGTTGGCATTTCTGTGTGGAGTTTGCATGTTCTCCCTGCGTTCGCATGGGTTTCCTCCAGGTGCTCTGGTTTCCCCCACAGTCCAAAGGCATGTGGTATAGGTGAATTGGGTTAGCTAAATTGGCCGTCCCATTGATGGGTTGCAGCTGGAAGTGCATCCACTCCGTAAGACATTTGCTGGATAAGTTATATATAAATATAAATTATATATATATATATATATATATATAAATATATATATATATATATATATATATATATATATATATATATATATATATATATATGTATTGTTCTGTTTTAGCAGGGACATTGTGCATTAACTAACATGGCAAATTGCAAATGGTAAAGTTGTTACCAAAAATAAAACTACAAAATGTAAACAATGAACAAAGCCATTGTAAGAAAAGCATTAAAATGGATAAAGCTATCCGGATAAATATAGTGTATATCAACTAAACAAATTATAATACCAATATTATTATGCTTTTTTGAACAAATATTATTATCAATGTTTAAAACAACTGTACTGCATATATTTTTCCATTTTAATATTTTTGCCCCAAGTTCCTAAAAAGATAAAAAAATTGTACATTTTGTACCATTACAAATGTCATTACAGTTGATACTTTTGATTCATTTAATATCTTTCTGAAAATATTTACATTTTATTTACATTTAAAATATATACATCTTATTAAAATATAAAATATATCTTATATATATATATACTTTTGCCAAATTATCTACATAAAATGTCATCTAATTTCACAGATGGGCTCCAATAAATTTGCAAGCCAAAAGGGCATGACCTCCTACGGAACCAGACGCCATCTTTATGAACCAAAAATAGGCATGGAGAAACCAGCGGATCGATCTACCATAAACTTGCAGATGGGCACCAACAAATGTGCCAGCATGGTGAGAACGCACAGCATTATTGCCAAAATCACTCTAATTATCACTGATATCTTCTATTATTATACCAACACTCAAAACTGGAATAAGTATTGATGTATATTGTGATTACAAAGGTTGTAAAATACATAATCAGGCTATTAACTTACCATGCACTTGAAAAAGCAAGTTATATGCTCTAGAAATTTTTTTGAGCTTTTGCACCTTACTATTGCTGTTGATTTCTTTTGGATTAAACTTTTTTTAACAGGAACATAGGATGAAACTTCTCTAATCCATACAGTGTGAGATGATAGACCTTTTACTTTGTCCATATGATAGATATTGTCATATTTCACAGCCCTACTGCCAAATATTAGATCAGAAAAGTGTATTTTAATAGGGTGGACTAACTTTTTTGCAGGACTGTATAGTATTAACTCTTTGTGCTGTCGTAGGCTGGCATGTTTGCTCTTGGCACGGCGAGGCAGGTGACTGAGAAAAACGTCAATCTGGATCCGCTGGACACCACAACAGTGTCTCTGCAGATGGGAACCAATAAAGTGCCGTCCCAGAGCGGCCTCACTCCAATGGGAGGCGCACGTCTAGTGTACGACCGCAAATACTGCGTCAAGGCTAATGAACAAGACGGCATCGATCTCATTATTTAATGCGTGTAGACTCCTGTATTCAGCATTGGTACACTCTAAAATACCTGTTCATTAACAGTTTCCATATTTTGGGATTCACAAGTGTTTGTTTACAATTGTGAATTGCATTATGGGGTGTTGATCTCTGCTCTGTCGACTTCTGATGTTGAAAATTCAACTCTACAGTTTGACAAAGTGACATTTGTTGATGTTTTAGCAGTTTGAATTAATAAAATTAATAAGAAATAGTATATAGAGGAATAGGTCTGTAAAATAACAGAAAATGTACTGACAGTTTATTACGAGGTTACGTAGCCAAATATACAACAACAGCCCAGATAATATATCACTTTAAACTATTCAAAATGTTCATAAAAGTCTCCTTTTTTTTACCTTTTGAGGTTAGAAGTTGTTGGAAGAAAGATCAACATCCCATAATGCAACTCACAAGCATAAATAAATGCAAGTGGTGCTCACTGCAGAGCCATTAGGGCAGAGCTGAGCTCCAGCGAGGGGGAGCTTGAGCTTGAGCTCCTCCTTCCATGCACTTCTTCTACGAGTGATGTCACTGGGGGTAGGGTTAGGGGTGGGGTGGGTGTACGCATTAAAACAGCTTATAGGAGGAGGAGCGAGAGCTCAAGCTCCCCCTCGCTGGAGCTCAGCTCTGCTCAAATGGCTCTGCAGCGAGCAGTGTCTAAATAAATGGGTAAAAAATAAAAACATGAATCACAAAATAAGGAAAACGGCTAGTTTACAGATATTTTTTACCATGTAGATGGTGTCCTTTTCTCCTGATCCCAGACCAGCTAAGCTAAATTACAGCATGATCATGTTTATGTGTAAGGAATAGTTAATGACTGTTGCGCTAGTAATATGTGCATTAGTGTGCTTTATTTTCTAATAGTACACCAGACAGAAGTCCATTATTCTTCCAGACAGAAGTCCATTATTCTAATGACTGTTACGCTAGTAATATGTGCATTAGTGTGCGTTATTTTCTAATAGTACACCAGACAGAAGTCCATTATTCTGCTTATACTATGGTCTCCGCACCTAAAGACACTGTTCAGATGTTGTATTTGAAACATTTGTCAGATATTTGTCCTCAAAGGGCTCCTGTGTGTAGGACTAGTTTCTTACGCATCTCAGCTTATGTTTAGTTTTGATGTTTGTTTGTTTTTAGTGTTGGTGATGATGTATCACAAGTAACGTGAGTTAAATAATATTACTTTTCTAAGTAACAAGTAATGAATTACTTCAATGAATTAGCTTTAAAAAAATAAAAGGCCACTTTATTTTCATGGTCCGTTTATTGAATTTAAGTTACATTGCATCTACAAGCCAACTAATTCTCAATAGATTATAAGTAGACTGTTAAGTTGGGGTTAGGGTTAGTGTAAGTTGACATTTACTTATAGTCAGTTAAATGTCTGCTGAAGAAGTAGTATCAACAGATATTAAGCAGACAGTCTACTAAGCTCAAATGGGCCATCAAAATAAAGTGTTACCAGATAAATTGCTGTTTTAAAATGAACATAGTCACGTTGAATCCCGCACACAATGAGAGTCTTTGCAGACAATACAAATGAAGATGGCAGAGCTCTACATTTCTGCGATGGAAGTATCCTCATTATTTTGAATGCATCAAAGAAAGGGAAATAGGATTATCTCAATCGACAGAGATTTTACTTAACCAATTAGACAAAATATACAAAAGCAGCAAACACATTGATTTGAACATACAATAATCTGTATAAACAGCATGCATAGGGGTCTCAGAAGATAACTTTATCCGAAATCATTAGTTTTGTGATGTGTTTTTTAAAGGTAAATGAAGGTTATACACAGGCCTGGATTAAGAATTCAGAGGCCCCGGGGCACATTGTCTTGTTGGGCCCCCTACCTGGTCGCCCCCATATAGTTGAATAAAAAAATAAGAATAATATAATATTTTATTTATAAAATGAATCTATAATGTATTGCCCGCATTTTTGAAATAAGTGATATAAGATATATTTATAGTCTACAAAGATTTTACTTATTTTTTAAATAGAAATGGGTGGAAAATTCTCAAATAGCTTATTCCAACGAGGTGTGCTATTTGCATTTAGCCTGAATAGACACTTTGAAATTTTTTCCTCCTTCGCAGGGGCCCCAAATGCGCACGGGCAAATGGGTTTGTTCCCACAATGCCAAATGGTTAATCCGGTGTGTTGATAATTGCAGAGCTTTTCTATAAACAAAAAATGAAACAAAAATAAAACAGCGAGTTTTGGGAAAGATCAAGCCTCAGCCAGGTCAGAAAAATTCATTGAAAAGTAACTCAAAACTAGCGTAACGCATTACCTACCATAAAAAGTTACTAAGTAATGAAACTACTTAAATTTAAGTGGAGTGACTCAATATTGTAATGCATAACTCTCACTGTTTCCCCATCAGTGGATACGTTTGACTGATGTGAAATCATATGGCGTAGTGATATGGAACTGTAATGCAGTTCAAAAGCTGCTGGAACTACTTTAGAACTGCAGTTCCATTAAAATAATAGAACACTTTAGAATGTTCATCAGCCAGTCAGAATCAAGCGTTCAATAGTCCCACAGTATAAACAAGTGACATTCTATACCAGTAAAAAAAAGTTGAGAAAATCTCAAGCTGCTCTGTGACCAGGTTAAAGGGGATAATCTACCACATGAAACCTTTGCAATGGGGCTTTGTTGTGGATCAGTCATAGTTTGCCTTATATAATATTAACTGTTTGCCTTTTTTAGATTCCTCAACATTTGACATAATAGCTGTTAAGTACCAGAATCTGTTGAATCAGGCAAAAGTTACATAGTTGTATGAAAGCAATAAATTGTTTTGTTACTATTTTGAAGTGACCCTAAGTTTGGTCCAATTGGCCTTGAATTGATGGTCAACAAAATGTAGTTTAATTGCTCACAAACGGATGTATGTTCAGATTATACTGGTTTGGGCTATGTAAGATGGATGTTGACATCAATGCTAAGTAATGTTGAGGTAAAAGAATGAAAGCATTTGAGCATTTTGCACACTTCAATAACAATACTGTTTCACCAGCTATAATATTTCTTGGCAGCTTGCATAAATATATAATAGCTTTTTATGTCACAATAACAAAGCTATAAACAAATGGCACTTCCTTTGTGACTTCACTATTTCATTGTTATTAGTAGTAATGTTATTATTTTGTTTAACAATGTGGACAATGTTGATATATATAGCCTGTGGGATAGTTGACTCATGAAAATATCTGTAATTAACTTTTTTTTTACTTGTTACAAACCAGTTGGAGTTGTTTTGTTTTGCATAAGAAAAAAAGAAGATATTTTGAAGAATGCTGTAAACCATTAACTATTGACATCTATAGAAAAAAAACAATTACTGTGGAAGTAAATGGTTACCGGTTTCCATCATTTTTCAAAATATCTCCTTTTGTGCTCAGCGAACAAAAATCTAACTGGTTAGTAAGTCAAGGCAAATCAATTGACAGATGTTTAATTTTATGTAAACTATCCCTTTCACAATATGTTAATGACTCCATTAGGCAATGACATTGTTTTATTCCAGTTCATCCAAGAATATAATAACATTTTCATAGTACATGTTCAATGATATCATATCCAAAAGCAGCATGGCACTATTTGACTATTTTCTTCTGACTTTTCTAAAGTTGTAAGCTACTTACTGCATTCGGAATGTAAAACATATCTTTTATTAATAAACATTGGTCTGTCCTCTTATTTTGAGTCTGTTGTGTTGTCACAAATGTTCACGAGTAGGGGACACACACACACACACACACACACACACACACACACACACACACACACACACACACAATCACACACTGTTGAGTGCAAATAAAGGAGCCAGTTTCTATTTTGTGTACGTTTGGAAAGTCCGATTCAGTGAATCATTTACGTCGTGACGCAACAACATCAGTTCATGATTCCCCGTGTTCATCGTTGTTGTGGCTCGTCGTGTTGAAATCGCTTATAAGCACATAAGCTATTTGTTATATTTTTAACTATGTTTGCTATTTACGACAGTATAATTTCTACAAAAATAATAAAGAACGTAAGAAAATCACAAATAATTAGAATTTACGACAAATAGCATATGGCTTGCTAAACTGCGGTACACAAACTGAGGTAACGTTAGGCCTTCCCTCCTCCTTTCAGTCAAAAGGCCTCTATTTTAGTCAGTTGTTTTTTTATTTATTTATTAGGATAAACAAAAATCCGATATGTTTAAGCGTGTGTGTAAATTGAAAACCGGGTTTAATTCAACCCTAATTTGGATCCGTGTTTTAGTTCGTTTTGTGAATTTGTTTAATCGATTCATTAGAATCAAATCACAGGAATGATTCGTTCGTTCGAAACCGAATGAACAGCATGTGATTTTAATTGTCATCTCGATGGACGTGTTCAAACAGGTATTTTATCAACATTCATATCACATTATGGCTTTTGAAACGCTTTTTTGACAAGTTAGTACCGTGACGAATGACAAAATGTACTTCAGTTATTAATTTTATCGTCGCTTTTTTGAGAGGAAGAAGAAGGAAAAGCCTAATTTTAGGCTAGCAGCTAGCCTCTGCTTATGTCCAGGTTGTCCACGGGGTCTTAAAATATCTTTAACCTCTGAAACAAAATTTTAGGCCTTAAAAAGTATTACATTCACTGAAATATTGTGTTGTAGGTGTTAAATCGTTTTAAACATATCTTAATTTCCTCATGTCCAAGTAAAAAACGCACCCAATCACCAATATCCATCTCAAAACTTGATATGAGCAATTCCATGCAAATGTCAACCTTCCCATGAAAAAAATAGTGTTTTATCAAAATAGTGAAACCCGGCTTTCTAAGTTTTTTTGTGTGTTGTTAAGCTTTTATTTTTACAGTTTCTGTAAAAATACTCATAAATGTCTCTGTCAGTGTTTTCAAACTATTTGATTTACCAAAGTCACACATGTGCCAATTTCACATCCGTCACAT